CTATTCTTCTCCAACACCACATTTCAAAACTCTCCAGGTATTTCTGTTCCTTCTTCCTGAGTGTCCAAGTCTCTGCTCCACACAGCGCGACACTCCATACGTAACACTTCACTAGTTTCTCCTTCATCTCCAAGCCCAACTTGCTAGTGAGAAGTATCCTCTTCTTGACAAAAGCTGCCTTGGCCATGGCTATCCTTGCTTTATTCCGTGAAAGGCAAAGTAAATTTGGCAACGGACTGATGCTTCATCCGTTCCTCAAGAACATTTCGGCATAGCACAGACTTTTCCAAATGGCAAATACAAGTTGGAAGGACGTTTAGACTGATGTATAATATCTGTATAAGACCGTATGTTGGAAGTTGGATGAAGGCAATTTAGAAACTGTGGGATGATTATGAATGATAATGAAGAAAAGGAGAAATAACGTAGTAGCCAGCAATCTGTAAGGAGAAGGGGGCTCAACAAGAATCTGCAAAAATTACTTTTGTGGGGTCGACTCCCAAAATCGCGTACCGAAGTTATTATTATGACATGGCCTGATTTGAAGAGAACCTCTTATGTTAGAGAGGTTTTGAGAAGATATTTTGATTCCAAATTTTCTTAAAAGTTTAATATATATTAGTATCCTCTAAGGATTTATAAATTAATTATCGATCACTCTAGCAATTAAGTTATGCACGGAGAAGCCCGCTAGGTTTTCTGTGGTCGTATTAAAATGCTGAATACGCGTGCACCAGTAATGGGCCCAATTCCTTGAAATCAAACACCAAAATTCAAAAACGCAGTGCACGGATTAGAGTGGAAAAGTGGCATTAGGAAAGACGAAAGTGTAACGAGAGATTTTCTTTATCGCTCGAGCGTTCAATAATTTATAATTATGACAAAGCATAAAGGTGTCAGATGTATTAAAATGATATTATTATGATTATACAACTGTGATAACCGCTCAGTACGTCCTGACGCTCTTGAAAAGAAAAAAAATATGGCCCCTGCGTTAATACGTGTAATTTAGAACTTCCATTGCCTTATCCAGGCTCTGACGAGACACTTCCTCAAGTCAGGGTAGTTGGTTTTGTTGGTAGTACTGATGGTAGGTAATTAAAATTCTGCAGGTTGGGCGACCTGAAATGGCATTAATTCCGAGTCAAATTTGGCTCAATATTGATCACGGCGGACGTGTCTGTGGACAAACTCAGGCACAGAATAGAAGGTATTATTAAAGTATGAGCAGGTTTTCATTACAGTATTGGGAAAGCAGACTGTATTGGCGCTAAGTGAGAGTCAGAATCTTAAAGTACAGTGATTATTTATGCTCCATAAGTTGGACAGATCTGAGTCACGTGCAGAGAAACAAGTGAGGCGGAGGAAATCGGTAATCATCGAGGAACTGCCCAGATTAGAAAACATGGCGGCAAAAACACTTTCATGCAACAACGATAAAAATGTGATGTCGCAGCGAGGGGCGTAGGAAAAGAAACTTTCTGGCCCCCGGACAATAAAGAGGCTGTGTGTGTGTGTGTGTGTGTGAGCAGAACGGAAACTCGTAATATGTCCGGTGCACATGTCCGGAGGGGGCGTTCAGTGGGAACCTGCAGATTCTGGTATTTGCTGGTGATCTGAGACTTCAATTTTCTCACAGCGGCGGATGTGAAAATGGCTGCCTTCTGGCTATAGCGCTGGGGAGTGTGGTAGGAGTTTACCGACGTTTCGGAGGTACTTGTTGCCTCCGTTATCATGGCGACGACGCTGGCGATTTTAATTTATTTCACAGAATGAAAGATACCATAAAATAAAATTGTGATGGGCACTGGATTCAAGGTTCCGGTTCAGGCTGATGGAGACATAACTTTGTATTTTGTATGTCACAAAACCAACAAACTTGTAATCGCTTGCAAGTTGAGAGTTGGTTTAATATTAATAAATTACTAATATATTTATGCGGAACGGTATGGAAGGCTTTGAAACTGTGTATATGTTCACAGCTCGTAACTAAAGTGTCAGACAGACAATTTTGAGAAATATGTCAATTTTTAATGCCGGGAATGGCAGTAATAACATTCAAATCTTAAAAAAATTAGGAACATATTAAATTGGTACGTGCTTGTTAACTTTAACTTCAGAATATTTTGTATCCGTCTAACGTATAGGAACCTAGAAACTAGACAAAAATATAAAGACTTGCAAAAATACAATTTCGTCTGTTATCTCGCCCTTGGGACATGGGAGTGACTGAGGAAGGGCTATCGGGACTGCATACCGACGAGGTACACGATCACTAGGTATTCTTTGCGTGTCTAAATGAATGATGCTGGGATGGGCGGAGCATGTAGCAAGCATGATAAACATTAGACGTGCTTACTAAGTTTTAGTCGGAGATAATGAAAGGAAGAAACCAGTGCAGAGAATTAGTCCCAGATAAGAGACGGGACTGTGTTACAGCGTTTCTTGTGCAAGGATGCGTGGTTATTAATACCATTCGGTTAACTCAAAAAGGGTTTCAGTTTTCAACAGTAAAAAAATTTTGGAGATGCTTAAAGGTGGAGGGATGTGGTTTTCTTGCCCTGGTGAGGAAAATCAGCTTTTCTTTTGTTTTCTTTCATAGTTTATTTCACTTATCTTATGTTGAGCGAATGATATTTGTTAAGCCAGCTAGCTAATTACTCAACCACGGAATTGTATGAACCATTACTGAAATAACAAACGAAAATAATGACGTGACCAACTCTTTAACTAGATAACTGGCTAGCAGTGCCTTCAATTAATTGAATATCTCAGTCCTAAGTATGTCCTCATATCTTTTCATCTTTTTTTACAGGATTTTAAAAGCATCATTACACACTTGTTATATTATGTTTTCTCGTAAACAGTTGAACGGTCCAGTCGGTATAATAATTTATCCTGGTTACCTCTGAATACGATCTACGTTGTATTGTGGCCATGTAAGTTGATATTCGGTTGGTCCGTGGTTTGTATCAGCTGCAAATTATACGAATATCTAAAGACTTGGCTTTGTGGAATGGGGAGAAGTTTGCGCACATCAGAGAAAACAGATTAACCAGAAGATGTGTACAAGTTACAATATTTTAAATTTTAGTGACCGCATTTAAATTCTTCCGTGGTGATTCAAATAGATACTGATTCTGTAAAGTCCTGAAACGCTTTTAACTGAACGAAAATCTATTAAAGTTTGCTGTTTATATTCCTTCTCCAGTCGGTTTGGTGATAGTGCGAACGCTGAATATTAATTCATCACATCGCGAGAAGTAAGTATTGTGTTACAAGTCATTTAGCATTTGGGGGGGGGGTTATTGGTACGAATTCCACAAATTTCAGCAAGAACACTAAAAGGAATATGAAGTAAACGATTGTTAATAACAAATATTCGAACTGACTGATGTTACATTGAGATGTTCCTCGCGCTAAGTCGAGGGAAATCCCTGTACTGACTGGACATGAGCTCTCAAAATGAAGCCCTGACTCAGTTCCCCTCTTTGATGTCCACTTCTGTCATTTCCGTTCTCCTGTACGTTTTCTTTTGATTCCGGTTGTTGAAGGCGGATCCAGCCAAATGTTTAGATTCTTCCGTTCCACGAAGAGGCATTTCTCATGCGATGACACTTTGGAACAGACGGAATATGGCGGAAAGTTTGCGGAATGTAGGCGCATTTCACT